AAATATTCCAGGGTCCCAAAGGGGGTTAAATTGTGAGAGAACAATAGGAAACGATTATTGTATTTCAGAAGGTTTGAGATCATTGGAATTTTAACATGTTTCTCTTTCCCTCTTTTTAAAATCTTTTTAAAATTTTATTGTGAAAATATACATAACAAAACATATGCCATCTGTCATGGATTGAATTGTGTCCCCCAAAAATATCTGTCAACTTGACTGGGTCATGATTCCCAGTATTGTATGATTGTGTACCATTTTGTAATCTGATGTGATTTCCTTATGTGTTATAAACTCTATGATGTAATAAGATGGATTAGCGGCAGTTATACTGATGAGGTATACAAGATTGGATAGTGTCTTAAGCCAAACTCTTTTGAGATATAAAAGAGAAGTGAGCAGAGACACATGGGGAACCTCATACCACCAAGAAAGCAGTGCTGGGAGCAGAACGTTTCCTTTGGACGTGAGGTTCCTGTGCAGAGAAGCTCCCAGACCAAGGGAAGATTGATGACATGGACCTTCCTCCAGAGCTAACAGGGAAAGTGTTACCTTGGAGCTAATGCCCTGAATTTGGACTTGTAGCCTACTAGACTGTGAGAGAATAAACTTCTCTTTGTTAAAGCCATCCACTTGTATTTCTGTTAGAGCGGCACTAGATGACTAAGACACCATCTCAATATCTATATGTCCAGTTAGTATTTTTCTCTTATGTTTAAGAGTCTGAAAGTACAACTGCAAGCCTTTTGAGTCTTTTCTGTTAATTTTTCTTTCTTTTTACTAAGCAGACATCTGCGTATCCATTGTCTTGATTATCATTATCTACTATGTTCTAGTTTTTTTTTTTTTTTTGATTTTAACTCAACTGAAAATGACTTTGTTCCTGTTGAATACTTAAGTTCTTCCACCAGCCCCCACTCCTCTCTCTATGCCTTTAGAGAAAGATTATGTGGAATAAGTGTGGCTGGTATATTCTTTCAAGAGAGTTATACTTCAGTAATGGAAAGTACTACTTCATTAAGGAAAAAAGACTGTTGTTAGGTTGTTGTTAGATGCCTTTGAGTCAGTTCCAACTCATAGCGGCCCTGTGTACAACAGAATGAAACACTGCCGGGTCCTGTACCATCCTCAAAATCGTTTCTATGTTTGAGCTCATTGTTGAAGCCACTGTGTCAGTCCGTCTCGTTGAGGGTCTTCCTCTTTTTCGCTGACTCTCTGCCTTACCAAGCATGATGTGTTTCTCCAGGGACTGGTCCCTCCTGATAACATGTCCAAAGTACATGAGACGAAGTCTCGCCATCCTCACTTTTAAGGAACCTTCTGCCTATACTTCTTCTATGACAGATTTGTTCGTTCTTCTGTAAGTCCATAGTATATTCAGTACTCTTTGCCAAGGAAAAAGGACTAGTGTGTATTATTACATTGTTTCCAGTGGAACACTGTTTTCTGATTAAAGTAAGCAGGCACAAATGGAGAGCTTGTTTGATACAGATTTTTTTAAAAATTCGTTTAACAAATAATTTGAGTGCCTTCAAGGTGTCAGACACAGTGTTAGGCTCTGAGACATGAATGATACAGCTTCTGAATTTAATGAATGAGATCATATTCTAGTTGGGTAAATGGACAGTCAGCTGTTAGAATAAAGAGCTAATAACATTTTTGAGAGGTATTACTGGATGGAGTGGGAGCATAAAAAGTATACAGGTAAAGCTAGAAGTAAATTGTAATTAAGAGTTGGCGAGGGTGGGAAAGGAGGATAGGCAGGAGAAAAAAGTGGTTTGCTGGCATATCAACTTGGCACGTTCTAGGAATGTGAAGTGGTTTTATGTGACAGGAGTGTATTGGGCTTGTGTTGGAAAGTATCTGGGGACAGGGCACGAATAACTTTCTATATTTATGCCAAGGACTGTTCATTTTATCTATCAACTGATAGAGATTTGTTGAAGAATTTTTGAACGGGGTGACATGATCAGAGTAACTATTGTGTTGACAGCCATGTGAAGAATGATTGAAGCAGAGCAATCCCGAAGATGCCAGACACTAATGAAGAAGGGTCTCTAGTAACCTCAAAGAGAAATAGTGAAAGCTTTAATTAAAGTAGTGATTTTTAGACCAAAACTAAAATTTAAAAATGTATTGAGTTTGCTTTAAAACACAATAGATTTTTAAATTTTCGTTTAGCAATAAACATCATGAAACTTAAACATAGGATATAAATCTCAGGAAGTTGTAAGAAAGTGATACTTATTTTGGTGGTTTCTGCTTTAAATTCTTCAACTGTTTGCTCAGTATGAACTACTTACCTATGTGCTGAGTTAGTGCTCTGTTTATCTGGCATGTGTGTGGTGTGTGTGTGTGGTTATACTATGCACTTGGAAGTAATTACAGCTCCTTAAAAGACTCACTTCTACCTTAATCCCGTGGCCCCAGAGCTGCATTTTTCTGCAGAGCTTTTGTTTTGGAGAAGAAACTTTTATGTTTTCAGTTACAGTCTCACTAAGGCAGTATACTTATATAGAGAGCCCTGTGAAAACACTAAATAAAGTAGAACTTTAGGAATCTTGAAGCAAGAAACGAGGAGACTAAAACTAAAAGCCCGTTGTATGGTTAGATAATTTTTAGGTAGATCATTCAAAATAGATTGTTGTTAAAGGATACATTTATAAACTCATCAGGGTAAGTTATTCTTGATTATACCTCAGTCGTTATTACTTGATCTTTTTACATGTGTTTTGTAATCTGTTTTCTATTTTTGGTGGTGAAATACACCTAACATAAAATTTGCTATTTTAACTATTTTAAAGTATATAGGTCAGTAGCATTTAGTACATTCAACAGTGTTGTGCGGCCATCACCACTATCTAGTTCCATCTTAAATATATTTAAAATCATAGTTTAAAAGTTTTATTCATACTTAGGCCCTTGATCCACCTAAAGTGTGGGTGTGGGTGTGGGTGTGGCTGTAGGATTTGAGGTATAGATCTAATTTTATTGTATCAATCTGTGTTGTTTTTAATTTAAACTTAAATAGACCTGTATCAAGCTGAACTGTAAACAGCCTTGTAACAAAAGATAAGGCTAGTAAAATAGGGAAAAAAAAAAAAAAAAAAAAAGGTAAGAATCACTCTTTTAAAATAGTAACCATTTGAGACATTCTTATTAAGATATATGTGTATACAGGTTACAGTTCTGAAAAATTTTTTATATTCTACTTTGTCTCCTGGTTTTTCTTATATAATTTTCTATGTGTTTAACATTTAGCCCACATGTTAGCTTTTTTGCTTTTCCTATTGGCATATAAAACTTTTGAGAGCAGGGCTGTATCTTGTTGGTCCAGGTATTCCTGCATAGAGTGTGGGATTTAATGAAATTGTAGTCCATTGTATTTTCCAGGTGTTCCTGATCTGTCTGTCATCTGTTCTCTTTTGGCCGTTTGTTCCCCTGGATATGCTATATAATAGCACTGGATTTTACAGATAGAAAGTCTAAGTAGCATAAATCCTGTCCTCTTTCCATCCTGTCTGCTGTGAGGTGTCCTTCATCTGATCGCAGCTAGTGACACCTCCTCCTTTCTTACTCTCCACCATTATTCACCCCAGTTCTGTTGGTTTTGCCCACTCTCAGTCCCCTGCCTGAAGGCTGTACAGACACTGAGTATAGGACAAAGATCGAATTCTGTAACATGTTGGCCAGTTCTTCATAGTCTGGCATCCAGTAACCTCTGGTCTCATTCTCATTTCTAGTAAGACTACCTTTGCCTGTTGCAAGTTCCTATGTTCTAGTCATATATTAAAAACAAACAAACAAAAATGGTTTCCTGAAAATGCCATATTGTCTATTATGCTTGCCTTTGTACCTCCTATGTGGGTACCTTACTGATCAGGCAGAATCTGCTATTCCTTGTTTCCTCTGTGCTCCGTAACATTTTGTTCTTTCAGCAGTGATAACGTCTGCCAAACTTTATTGCGAAAGATTATTTGCATATCAGTCTCCCCTACTAGACTGAGTTTTGCAAAGGCCCGGACTGATTGATTTTTGTATCCTCAATGCCAAGCGCAATCCCATGCACATGGTAGACAGTCATGATAATCTTTAGAGTAGAGCTACTCAGTTTGTCTAGGATTATGCAAGTATGAAAAAAGATGACACAGAAACAAATATAAATATTTAGACCTAAAATTTACATGTGCGTAATAGGCAAAGTGAAGCCCTGGTGACAACAGTGGTTAAGAGCTTGGCTGCTAACTGAAAGGTTGGCAGTTTGAATCCACCAGCCACTCCTTGCAAACCCTATGGGGCAGTTCTACCCTGTCCTTTAGGGTTGCTGTGAATCAGAATCGACTTGATAGCAATGGGTGGTTTGATTCATAAACCGCGTTTACCATTTGGCAATGGGCTTTTTTTGAGTTAATAGGCAAAGTAATTTATTATGACATATAAGACATCTGTGAAGGTATTCCAGGCAAAAGACAATTAGAAGGACTGTCTGGAAAATTGGATTATTTTAAGGTGCCATCTGGGACACATTTAGGGCTAGATAAGCCAACATCTATTTTAAGTGTTCCCAGAATTTATTAGATGACCCTATATGTTTATAATTTGCTGAATAGACATACATTCTATTCCAGAAAATACTCAGCATAGGCATTAAAAAAAGATTAGGCTGTAGAAAAACAATTTAAATAAAATCTTGGTGTGCTAACACTTTTCCAGGGTTATGATAGTGGTCCACTGGTGCTCCTTCATTCAGGTGCATCATTACTGTGATGCTCGTTATCAGCATAAGAACCTATAAAGCCTAATGAACTCGGAAATTTCCGAAGCCTGAGTATTTTTTAATGTGTTTTTGAAGTTTAGAGGTTCATCCCAATGTATTCTTAGTATAACATTTTGTATATGAATCGTTGAGCTTTGCAAATAAAGTGCCTTTCAGTTATTGGTTTAAACACAGAAGCTACATCATTTTCATAATTTCACAATAAACTGTGATTTTTATTTTTCAGTGTTGAAAATGAGCCCATGAGCACAAGTCAGAAAAATGAAAATGTACATTCATCAGAAGCAGTAAAGGTATAGTTTTTAATCAATATTATTTTATATCAAGCAAATTTTTTCTTAATGGCTGCTCATTCTTCCCCTTTTAGATTCTGTCATCTCATTTTGCATTTCAAAAAGAGCACCATAGCATTACTTTAAGTGCAAAGCCAGCCCAAATCTGTTGGACATTCTTTCTGCATCTTGAGGAGGGGAGCACGGGAAGAGAGGAGAGCACGGAGGGAGGGAGTTATAGAGAGTGGTGTTCTTATCCCAGCTCTGCCACTAACCAGTTCTGTGACCTTCAGCCAAGCCATTTAACTTCTCTACGTCTTAGTTTTCTAGTCTATAAATTGGGTCATATGAGTCCCTTGGTCTGTTTTCCCTGGAAGGTTCTTTGATTTATGCTGTGTTTTCTGAAATGCTGCTGACAACTAATAGTGCTTTGAGGGGATAGAAGTTTATAAGAGGTTCTTACATGGCACTGCTATGTCATAGAATGTTTGGTCCAGCTCACATATAAACTGGCTTCCTTTGCTTTGACAGGACGAGCATGAAAAGTGCATCAGCTACATACCCATGTAGACGATTATTGATAGGAGTGGTTAAACATCCTGGAAAATCATTTAACTTTGCATCATTTCTTTTTATCATTAAAGATTTTCTAGAAATTGGACTTTTGTGTTTCTTGGTGATATGAGGCCAGGTATGTGGTCATAGTTTGGCAGTTGACTTGAATTCACAAGGTTTGGTCCCAGTTACATGCTTTCTTTTTACATGATTTGTTACAATCAGCCAAGGAAAAAGATTGTACTTTCCAGAGATTTCAGAATAAATTAGCTTGGTCACTGAGAGGACCAGAAAATCATCTGAATTCTTCATGATTGATATGGGCATTAATTTAACAGTTTTGAAAACTATGTAAGGTCCAAGTGCATTAAATATGGTAAAGATAAAGTTGTTTTCATTCTTTATTCTCACCTGCTCCATAATAGGAAACAATGCAAATATTTACTTTATTGGGAAAAAAAAAAATTAGGATTATCCTTGTTTCCCTTAATCTTTTTTCTCATCCTCTCTTATATTTGGCTGCTAAATCCCACTGCCAGGTTCTATAACATTTCTCACGCACCCCTCTTCCGCAGCCAAGTGTTAGCCAGTCTCCTGGTTTACCACTCTGCGTGGGCTCTGTGGCTTTCTCCTCTCAGTTTCTAAATATGTCTTTACTTTTAATCCCATGTCTCACGTTGGCCTTATGTGGTACCTGGTATCTCCAGATTCTGAGTTTCTCCAGGTTGTCTGTGGGATAAGTGGTTTCTTTTGTGATCAGAATCTCCCTTGGCAGACACTTGGGTAGCAGCTTCCTCTGCTCATTCACCATGCCTCCTTCTCCCTTCACCTTCTGAACCTCTTCTGAAGTCTCTTATCTGCTAATATGTTCTCTTTCTGTCTTTGTACTTATTTATTTATAGCTTCAAACAAAAATCCCTTTACTGTCATTTTAGTATGAACAAATTTAGTAATTTGTTCAGGAGAAGAAATCAGCGTGTATGGTGCATCCTACAGTGTTAATCAAGATTTGTATACCCTTTTTATAATTGAAGAAAGTGAAACCCAGAGAGCTTAAGTCATTTGCTAGTGAGAGGAGGTAAGAGAATTCAGGTGCCGTTCTGTACCATAATGCTCGCCATTTGCGCACTTAATTTTTAAGCCATGTTCATAAATTAAGGAGACCTGGTGGTGCACTTGGCTGCTAACCTAAAGGTCAGTGGTTCAAACCCACCAGCCGCTCAGTGGGAGAAATATGTGGCAATCTGTTTCCATGAAGATTTAGCATCACTTATAACCAACTCAAGAGCAGTAATAATAAACTGATAACAAAGTATTTTCTTTAAAATTGAGGGAATTTCCACTATTGGTGGTAGCAAATTTACCAGGTGATATTTGACAGCCAGATATCTTAGTATAATACTAACTAAAATTCTCTAATAAGCAACTGGTTTTAGTATATGAATGCTAAGTTTTAGTAACTTAATAATTTAGGTAATAGCCCTACTCATTCATTATGAGAGCTGATGAAATTGCTTGTCTTTCAACACTGAGGTGAGGAAGAAAATATAAGATGTTAGAGATACTCCTGGGAAGAACATGCATAATATTCATTCTGAAAAACTTGAGGTGCAGTAGGAATTTTCCAGGCAAAGAGGGCAAGTAGTAGTTTTCTCAGCAGTGGGAATAGCATTGTGTAAAGACACATAGTAGTGAGAGAGTAGAGGAGAGGGGACAAATGAATGAGAGCGCATATGGTGACATTAGGCATTACAGGTATTCATGTGTAGAACATGAATGCGAGTGGCAAGAGATGAGGTTGGAGAAGGACACGGAGGCTAGACCCACCAAGACCTTGAATGCTATGCCAGAGAGTTTGGTTTTTATCATGAGAGCAGTATACAACTGCTAGAGGGCTTTAAGGTAGATCAGATTTGAATTCTGAAAAGACTGCTCTGACTTTTGTTTGGAAAGGAGACTGGAAGACAGTATGAGTGGAAGCAAGAAAACCGGTTAGTTCACTGTTGGCAGTATTATGTGGCAGTATTACAGGGGAGAAGTCATGGTGTCCTGATGTTTTGCTTGACCTTTTAACAGCAAATGGGAATTTTATAGCTTACTGAAAATGGAAGAAGCGAGACACAGCACGATCAAGTTGTTTTGGTTAAATTGAGCTGCAGTGAAGCATCCAGATGGAGATGGATGTCTGGTTGATAGTTGGATGGGCAGGTGCATACCTTAGAAGTCTGAACCTATAATACAGCTTGGGGAATTGTCTGAGTAATTGAATCTTTAGGAAATGAGATCTCACAAGAAGAGCATGAAGGTTAAGAAGGTTGAGGCTGGAACTTGGAGGAGTGTCTTATATAAGGGATGGTCAGAAGGAATTGAGCTTGAAGAAGATGGAGAGAATCTTCAGAGAGAAAGAAAGGAACCTGAGAGCAATGTCATGGAAGCCAAATAAGAGTTGTTTTCAGGAAGAGATTCAGTGTCATATTCTTCAAACATATAAAACCCATTGCCACTGAGTGGATTCTGACTCATAGCGACTCTATAAGACAGAGTAGAACTGCCCCATAGGGTTTCCAAGGAGGGGCTGGTAGATTTGAACTGCCAACCTTTTGGTTAGCAGCCAAGCTCTTAACTGCTGCTCCTCCAGGGCTCTGCAGACATATATGACCAAGACAGAAAAAAAGAGTCCATTGAATTAGTAAGTAGGAGGGAGATAGTGGTCAGAGGCATGTTTCATGAGAAAGCCAGATTGCAGGGGCTAAAGGAGCAATGGAGAAGAAACAAGAAGATGGTGAGAGTTGGTAACTCCTTTTTAAGGAAGTTGAAAGTGAAGAGATAGGAGAAAGTTGTTGCTAGACAGATACTTTTGAATGCTAGAGGCTTGGAGAGGGAGAAAACGGCCAGTTGAGGTTCCTCAGGAGATGCCAAGCATCGTGAACCAGTGCCCTGGTGGAGGAATCGGCCTTGGGAGGAGGAGTCCTTCTCCTTTCATTGTGAGGGTGCATGAAGGAGGTGGGCATGGGACAGGTGCTGCTACTGCAAGATGGGTAGGGGAGAGATGGAGTCAGGACTTGAGAATGTGGAAGTGGAAGCTGGTGCTCTTTGAAATGGGGTAGTGGATGAGGTGTCTTGAGGGATATGGGAAAGATTTGAAACAAGCCAAGTGCTAGAGACAGTTAAGGGAAGAGTCATCTGGCCCTTCTTTATTTTTCATTTAACAGGCTCACAGCTCTCTACTCTTTGATCTTGTTCACTGTTCCTGCCACCACATTGGTACAGCACCTGCCACCTACTACAGGCTGCTTGAGGAGGTGACAGGATAAAGCTGACTAGACCTGCAAAAATGTAAAATGTAGGCTCCGTGAAAGCCAGGCTTTTGGTATGTTTTTTTCACTATTGCATCCAAGCACCTAGATTGGTTTCTGCTTGTTTATTATTTAGTGAATGAATGAATACATAACATTAACTTCTGCTGCTACTTGGTAGGCCGAGTTTCAGCCTGTTGCTGATTTAGGGTTGCATTCCCCAGAAACACTCTTCCAAGTCTTCTCCATTTTTGGATCCTAAACCCCAGCTTTATCTCTGCTCCTGCCTTTCCCTGGTCATCTCTCCTCTCACTTAAGGAGGTTCCGAGCCACCTGTTAGGACCTTGCTCATTGTCTTCTCTACTTCAAGAATGTCTCAGGATTTAGACGCTCTCCATCCCACTTTACTCAGAGGAGGAAATATTCCCTACTCCTCTCCAAGGTTAATACTTTCTCCTGGACTCTTCATCTCATCACCCTCTGCCTTTCCTTATGGAAACTATCATCCTTCTCTCTCTCTCTTTTTCATTTTATTGTGTTTTAGGTGAAAGTTTACAGCACAAATTAGTTTTTCATTCAAAAATTTATAAACAAATTGTTTTGTGACATTGGTTACAATCCCTGCAATGTGTCAGCGTTCTCCTCCTTTCCCTTTCCACTCGGGGTTCTTTGTGTCCATTTGTCCACTTTTCCTGTCCTTTCCTGCCTTCTCGTCTTTGCTTTTGGGCACGTGTTGCCCATTTGGTCTGTATACTTGATTGAACTAAGAAGCATGTTCCTCGTGCGTGTTATTGTTTGTTTTATAGGCCTGTCTAATCTTTAACTGAAAGGTGGACTTTGAGAGTGGCTTCAGTTCTGAGTTAGCAGGGTGTCTGGGGGCCATAGTCTCAGAGGTTCCACCAGTCTCTGTCAGACCAGTAAATCTGGTCTTTTTATGTGAATATGAATTTTGTTCTATATTCTTCTCTTGCTCTGTCTGGGACTCTCTATTGTGATCCCTGTCAGAGTGGTTGGTGGTAGTAGCTGAGCATCATCTACTTCTTCTGGACTCAGGCTGGTGGAGGCTGTGGTTAATGTGGTTTTTATAATAGTGGTCTCATACCCAGTATGAATCTCAGTTGGTCGTTGTGTATTAGTTTTTGATATGATACTGAATTCTGTTGGCTAGAA